AAACAAAGAGCAATAGAATTTTTTTTTTACATTTAACCACTGTATTTTTAAATTAACTACATTTATTGAGACAAACTAAAAAAAATTTTGTTTTAATAGTCAAACAAAATAAAAATTAAACAAATATCCCATTTCTAATGTTTTATATGCAGATTAAATAAGTTAAACTTTTGGCTTGTTTCCCCGAGACCACAGGAGGGCACAATGAGCAAAATAATGCAGCACATTAAATTGTCATCGCAAGGAAATAACTGTGCATTACAAACGTGCATTACGTATAAATTAACTCATAAAAAACAAATATAATTTCTTAAATTGCATAAACAATTATAAACAAAACAAAGTCACGTATTTATGCATTGCTTAATACAAAAAGCCGACTCGCCCATCACACAGATTGCCTTTAAAAACAAAAGAGACGCAGTGAAAAGGAATAAACCTTCACAAATTTGTGACGTGTTTTCTAAAAGTTTAAACTGTTTTAACTTTGCATGGCTTTCTATACATCTCTTGTGTGACGCGAGTGCAGCAGTTATATTTGTCTGTCTAGAAAATGCGCTGAATATTCGTTCTGTGTGAATGGCTTTGTTTCGGTTTTAACCTAATCAAGATCTTCTACGCATTGAGCATATACGCTTCTCTAATATTTTGAATGAATAACGCAGCAGCGGCGCGCAAAAACGTCACTTACATCATCATCACCGCATCTCGTGCTCCACTGATGATGCTCCCTGACACACACCTAACATTCGATTGTACTATTTTTGCATTCAAATGCAAATGTTTATTTTAAATTCGACTAAAATTCTTTTTTTTTTTTATTCACAATCTCCTCATTACAGGCAGGCACAGCACTCATGGTCGTGTTTTTGAGTGCTGTCTGCGTCACTCATAGCATGTGCCTATATCGTGCACTATACTGAACATTTTTTATATTATTATCGAAGGTGTACTGTCAATAAATATCGATGCCGTTTTATAGCCCAGGCCTAGTCTAAGGTGAGCATTATGACTCAGTAAGGCTTGGTTGGTGTCTTCAATAATTGTAATGAAGTTACAAGGTTCATCTAGATTCCTTCCTCATGTCGTAAGAAACATTCTTGGCATATTGTTTGGCTGAGATAGACCTGTACATATTGCAAAAACACTAACCTATATTCAATGACTCATTAAGCAGAGGGATCTTCAGGAAACAAACATAAACTCAAGATATTTCAAGGGGACAATGAGTGACTGAAGGACAAGTGCAAGAAAAAGCAGGACATTCCAGCACATCTCATCAAGCTCCTTTTTCATTGTAGTGGCTATGTCTATATTAGTATCCTTATTAAAATCAGTATCATGTAGGCTCTGGATTTATATATTCCTAACTGTAGTTTATAGTATAGCTTTATATAGCCTAGCCCTAGATCATTCCATGAAAAGGCTGCCATTTGTGCCCCTAATTAATATTTAAATGGCACTATTGTGATGCAATTAACTTTTACTATTAGACATTATTTAAACACACATCCATATAGTAACTTTATTTTTAAATTATTTCAATAAAGAAGATAAAAGCTTTATATGTATTCACCCTATAAATAATTATAGGCTTTACTGGACATAATAGTTTATTGTAAAAAATTAAATTAAATCAATTATATTGTGTACTACTCAACCCTGTTAAAGTCCTAATTCCCCCTTGATAAAACAATAAATTATCTCTTTGTATGCTCTTCAAGGACATGTGTTTTTTTTAATCATTTAATTTTAAGTTTGTCAGTAAGAAGCGATAATAAGCAGTCGACCCTGTTACCATAATTTTGTGCATTCACGTCAACCCTGTTAACATCATAATTTGCACGACGTGCAATATAACCAATGTACAAATCCATAAATTAGAAAAATCTTTATGCATGCTCTTCAAAGACGATTTATCTTTTTTTTTTATCTGTAACTATAGAGCGATATTAATCACGCAACCCTGTTACCATAATTTGGTACATTAAACAAATGATTATTTGAGAATTGGATTTTTGCAGAAATAACAGCGTTAAATTATCTTTCTAATAAATATTTTGTATGTACATGCACTGTAAAATGTCAACCCTGTTACTTTCCATTTCGCTTGAGATAGCACAATACAACTTATTAACACTTAAAAACAACATTTATCTGATTGAATGTTTAAAATCTTACAGGTATTTCATGGACGAGACGCCCATTTCATGACCTAGGCTATATGAAGATGATGATATATGCAATACTAAAGACATCATAACTATATAATTTTTTTATATTTAAGAGTTTGATACATATTTATACACATTAAAATGAGATATAGTGTTTACATATCCAAGTGTATGTTCAGGCAATGTCACAACTTGCAAATGCCATGTACAATTTCAGCTGCTATGTACAGTATAAGCATTTTTACTCGCATATGTTTTACTGTACATGCAGCCAATATCTAGATGTTCAAGTGTCAAGTTCAGCCAAGACAAAACACAACATTAAGTCAGAATAGGCTTGTCTTTAATAGCAGTGACCTGATACTCTTTGGACTGGAGTCTAATGCATTATGTGTAACAAAAACAATTACAATTTGTATTTTACCCTCTATAGCAAGTCTTTGTTCAACACCGTTAATATAAGTGCAGTCATTCTAGATAGAACTCACCTTACGTACGGATCTTCATGCTGGTGCTGATATTTAAGATGACCAACTTGCGATTTAAAGCGAGTTCACGAGGTTAAACGCCGTAAAGAAGAAAAATCCGCAAACTGTGCTCTTGTGCGAGAGATACAGCAAAAACAGTGATAGATCCGGAAGCCGCGCGCACTTCAATACAGCTGTCACGCACAAATTAAGGGGAACCGCACTAATCCACCTTCCGAGAAGCTTGGCGGATTATGTTTTTGGAGTCGCGGATGCCAATAATCCAAACAGATGGAGCGGTACGCGCCTGGGAAAGGTGCAAATCTTGTCGACTGCGCGCCGTCAAATGAAAAAAGTTTCCTCTCCGCAAACACAGACTGACGCCGAGTTTTTCCTCAGAGCAGCGACTGAGAGTAATGTCAGCCTCAGGAAGAGATGACGCGCACACAGCGCTCGCGCCGCGAGAGATTCTGGCGCCCTCGGCCGACTGCGAGCAACAGCGCGCGACATTTCAGGGTCTGAACATTTCATTTGTTTTAAACTCTCTTTTAATTATTTTACTTTAAGTCATTATTTATATAATTACTTAAAATATTGTAAGCAATTTTATTTAGACATGTCAAAATAGGCCTAACGGTCTAAAACCCTGGTCTGTGTAATTTTGAAGTTTTTAGCGGTACAATAGCCTACATATATCAAAATTAAATAGACGAAAAATAAATAAAAACACGCTACAGTGGGTAACAAACAAATAAATATAGTATAGATAGAGAGATAGATAGATAGTTTAAAAATATTACTATCCTAACGTTTACTGTAAAAAGTACAAATCTTCTTATTTATGCATTTATTTGCATAAACACATGCATCAAAGTCAGTAACTATAGTAAGATATTAATAAAAATTATTTTTTTTAAATCACAAAATGCTACATATTTTACGATGGATGAACGAAACATTTTTTACAACCGTAAGTGACTTCATTAACAGAGCAAGTTCGTTACAGAAAGCATTATACAAAGGAGTTCTGGACATTCAGCATTTATGAAGAAAGAATTGGCAAGAATGATAAAGAATTCAGAATGATAAAGTTTACACAGCTGCCAATACTTTTATCTTAATGCTCGTGATAAAGGATCATTTCTTTCGCATGCAATGCTATTTTAAAATGTTGTATTTGCAGAAAAAAACTCCAGATTTGTACTTCATTGCCCATAATTCCATGCGAGAACGTCATAACGCTCGAGCCAATGATATCCGATCTGACCAGAGAAGCAAGGTTCACCAGGAAACATCAGCAGAAATGTAGAACATAGTTCACGCATCAGACCCTGTTAACCATCTGTGTATATCTCAATAAACGGTTATCGTTAGATTTTTTTCGAAAATGCACAGAGTGCAGGTTTTGTCGGGACATCTGTCTTCAAATAGTCGTGTGGGAATGAGGCAGTGCAGCGCTTTAGCTGCTGATCCAAATGATATCGTTGTGGTTCATGGACTACGAACAGCCATCGGCCGAGCGAAGAGGGGATCTTTTAAGGTGGGATATCGGTCAATATGACGATTGACAGTGACATTCACAGTATTCTCTATTAAAGTCTGTCTTTTTGATTTTAGGACACTACCCCAGATGAGCTTCTCAGTGCTGTGATGAGGGCAGTGCTGAAGGATGTGGGACTGAGACCCTCTTTACTAGGGGATGTGTGTGTTGGTAAGTCCAGATGACAGCTAGCCTGATCAAATCAAGATATACTAAAACACAATAATGACAGTCATATATGAAGATTGAATAAATGCATAGTCCACCCCAAAAAAAAAATTTTCTGAAAATGTACTCACCCTCAGGTCGTCCAAGATGTAGATGAGTTTGTTTCTTCAACAGAACAGCTTTTGAAGAAATTTAGCGTTACATCACTTGCTCACCAATGGACCTTCTGCACTGAATGTGTGCCATCAGAATGAGAGTCCAAACAGCTGATAAAAACATCACAATCCACAAGTAATCAACAAGACTTTTGTCCCTCAATTAATGCATTGTGAAGTGAAAAGAATCAAGTCCTCTATCCATAATATTGCTTTCTCCAGTGAGAAAGAAGTCTCGTCTGAATCAGGAGAGAAATATGCACAGATCAAGCACCATTTACACCATTTCCAAAACTGATCTAGTTTCCACAAAAATATTAAGCAGCATAACTTGAAAATTCCGCTTTGCCATCACAAGAATACATTACATTTTCAAATATATTAAAATAGAACAGTAGTTAGTTACTTTAAATAAATAATATTTTAAAATATTACTGTTTTTACTTTATTATTGATCAAATAAATGCAGCCTGGGTAAGCATAAGACATTAAAAAAACATGAAAAATCTTACTGACCCCAAACTTTTGAACAGTAGTGTATGTGTGAAGTCGCTGTTTAACTACAACTTGACCTTTGAACCTCGGTTTGCAAACATACACTAGGCCATTTGACATTTGCTTGTGTTCTTATGTTATTTAATCTTCTTTATAATTAAAAGATTACAACTCACAAATACAGAATTTGACGTATACAGAGATCAGTGTCTAGTCAAACTAATGAATGACTGTACAGAGAGAGATACGTTTCAGTTCTTCTGTCTTTTATATGGAACTCAGTGTTTTGTCAGGTGTCAGATTTTGAAGACACAAAACTCTCATCAAATGATCCTTTTCCATTGACCTTCAGAACAAGTGGTATCTCTCCAAGAAGCCCCTGCACTGTGATGATTGTCTGGAACTCTTTGTGATCACTATGGAGAAAATGCTGTTAGTATTAAGTTTAAGACTACATTAGGTTTATAAATTAACTGGTCTACGTCTGATTAGACAAATACAGTTATATAGTGGAGTGTTCAGTGGACTGAACTTTGAACTTCAAACTCAATCTAAATCTTCATCCATTGCAGTTACATATTGTATTATCCATTTCTTAAAGGGGTGGTTCATTGAAATTTCACTTTTTTAACGTTAGTTGGTGTGTAATGTTGCTGTTTAAGCATAAACAATATCTGCAAAGTTACGAAGCTGACAGTTCAATGCAAATGGAGATATCATCTTTTAAAATTCTGGCAGTTTAATGCCTACAAAAACGGCTGGTAGGGACTACAACGAGTTACTTCCCGGGTTCGTGACGTAACAAGCCCAGATAAACGGGAAAAGGCAGCATGGGGGCGAGGCCATGCTGCGCTGCTTTAGAGAAGAGGAAGAGAAAACTAGAGGTGCAAGTAAAAATCTGTTCTTATATGAATCGCGATTCTGTCTTCTAACGAGTCTAATGGATTCACACTTTTCAAACTAATGTTATAAAGCAGTGGTTCTCAATACTGTTCCTTGCGTTCCCCAGCGTATCTAAAAGTATGAGATGACAACAAACAAAAAACATAGGCCTACCATTAAAAGCTGTGCTTGCACAGGTTCTGTACGATCCTCTTCAATAATATCGTCTGCTTCTCAATCAGGCTCAACCTGATAAGTGATATTAATGACGCCTTGTTTACAATACAACCGGAGCACATGCCGCTGAGGTGAGGGACGGGACGTTTAGCCGTGCACTAGAGGCAGTTTAGCCAATCACAACACACTGGGCTAGCTGACCAATCAGAGCCAGCCCATCGCCTATTTCTGAGGGAGGGGCTTCATAAAAGAAGGAAATGATCAGTGCTTTTCTCAAAGAAAGGGACAGAGCGGTGTGGCATAAAGGTAAATTATGTGAAAAATAATGTGTTTTTTAACACATATTAGACTGCACCCCATAAACACAATCAAGCCTAGAAAAAAAACTGTGAACCACCCCTTTAAATTAAGTATTTTCTGAAGCGTGATTGATTGTGCGTGTATCAGGGTGGTGGACTGTACCTTGCTGTGAAGCTGATCTGCAGCAACTGCTTACAGGATGGTGGGTCTACAAGAGCTTTCAACACACCAGAGTCTGGACTCACCCTGAACACTTCAATGCCACCTTCAGCATCCAGACACAAAACATGAGCTCAACTAGATACAAAGTAACAGCCATGATTGTAAAGATCAGATGATAAAAAAAAACAGGATTAGAGCTGCAATCTGTTATTACAGCAACCTTGTCAATGCTAATGCAACTACATGGTCATACCACTCCACAGCTGCTTCGTCCATAGCCAAAGCTTTTTACCTGTAAGTGCAGTCCAGTAGCTAAAGGAGCCACCTCTGTTGTAGAGGTAGACCTCTTTGACAGTTGTTTGTCCAACAAAGCAGGTGCCAAAATCCACAGTGGAACTGGAAAGGTGCAGTGTCGGTAATGCCAGATTAGCACAAAGGGACACTGTCTGAAACAGTCAAACAGACAACATTATTTACAACATGGTTACTTGTAGAGTATTCGTATTTGGCTACAAAAGCTCAGATATCAAGAAACCTTGCTTCTGGTTCATTGATATTTTGAAGCTGAATTTTCAGCAGCCATTATTTCAGTCTTCAGTGTCACATAATCGTTCTGAAATATTCTAATATGCTGATGCTCAAGAAGCATTTCTTATTATTACCAATATTGAAAACAGTTGTGCTGCTTAATATATTATTGTGGACAACCTAAAACATATTTTGTCAAGATTCATTAATAAATAGAAAGTTCAAAAAACAGCATTTCTTTGAAAAATAAATATTTTGTGACTATAGAAATGTCTTGACTGTCACATTTTTTAAAATTAATTTAATGCATTGCTAAATAAAATTTAATTTGAATAAAAGTATTAATTTATTTTAAAAAAAAATGTATTGACTCTAAACTTTGAAACAGTAGTGTATCTGAAGTTTTCAAAGTGGGGTCAGAAATAGGTTTAGAGAAAAAAAATGGTTTAAAGTTAAATTGAAACATAAAATGTATTTAAAAAATATAAAATTTATTAAATTATTTTTTAAAAATACTACAATTTTAAATTCAAATTTGACAATTATTTTTTCCACTGTAAATACTTGTTTGAATGAGGCTAATGTTCCAGGACAATATGACTCCCACAAGATGGGTACAAGATGGCGAAATTATTACCCATCATCTTCAGGTGCAATAGGCTTGAGTATTGCGTTGAAATGTAAGCTCTATCATTACTACCAGCTTTATGAACCTCAAAAAGTGCATTTTGTTCCAAGACTTTTATATTTTAGATATTTACAGGATATACATTTTGCCTGTGTACACACCTGTACGCTGTTATTGCTGTACTGAATGGTCAAACTCTGGCGAAACTGTAGTGTCCTTTCTCCAGCATCATTGCACAGAAGAGTAGCTGAAGGAAGAGCATCTGATTCCTCACATGGTTCATTCAGACAGGTCAGGAGCGAAGATGAATTATGAAAAGCCACCTTAACCTGCAAATTAAAATTATTATCAAAATCACTTCTGTCAGATTGACAAATACAACAGATTTAGCACAGATTCCTACAGGGACAAAGCAAAAAAGCTGAAATCCAAGACAGAATAAGCAAAGAAACAATATGACCTGCATGATTTGTTTAGGCTGTAAAAGAAGTGATATTTGCTCATCTCCTGGTCCAGAGATTCCTGTTGTGTGTCTGTGAGAGGGTGAGCTGCTGATCAGTTTAAGGCTCTGTCGGGGCAGCAGCACTGAGAACGGAGGGTGTGTGCTCAATCTGAAACTCAAGGCCATATCCGTATTGTTCTTCAGCTGGAACGTCCGAGTTATCCTGGATTCCTTCTACAGTCCAAACGGACAGACAAAAAAATGTCCAGCTAAACCCTCACACCACCAACAGGAACTGTCAAAATTAACTTGCTTGTACTTTGATTTGGATACATATTGTTTGTTTGAAGTGCACCTGTGTCTGTGATGCTCCGTCCAGTGTATCACTGGCAGCTGCTGTGAATTCCAGTACGTCTGTATCTTCTGCCATCTGCACTGTCAAGCTACACACACACACTGATTCACAGTTGTCTATATATAATGTATTTATTTACTTGTATGAAATGCTTGTGATAGAAGCAATATACTGATTTTTATATATGCTAAAAATGTGAGTAGTGCTCGGGCATTGCTAGGGAATCACTAAGTGGTTGCTATATCAATACATGAATTAAACACATTTGTAACTCACACGGCAGGTTTTACATTAGCCTGCATGTCCAGCCTCAAAGGTTCTAGTTCATAGCCCTGTGCTCTCTCCACTTTGCCTGGAGTCAATGATGCAAGCTACAAGATAAATAACAGTGAAATGACATTACCTTGACTGTAAAACTTATTGTTTTTCATTTTTGAAAGTAATTGTGAATGTAGCACAATGTAGTCTGTATTAGGTGAGCTGGATGAGTTTAATATACCTTAGAGTCCAGGTTCATGAAACTCAGAGCATAACCCAAACACTTTTGACTGGTTGAACATGACAGGATCAGAGGAGTGAAAGACACATGAATGGTGCTAGTGCCCCCTGCTGGAACTACCTGTAGAAAAGTGCATATTAAATGTTTTTCCGCCCATCACACCCTATCATTAATGTTCTTAATCCAGATATGGAAATAAAACAGATCCTAATGGAGACCTGGGACAGTGTTGATTTCCATAACCTACGGTTTGCTGTGGAGTAATGCAGTATGGGTAGTCAGAGATGTTCCCTTCATGAGGCTTCAGAAACACAGAAAACAGCTTCTTCACTGGAGCCAGAGACCTAGAAGGGCTTCTGCCCTCCTCTCCATCACATTCTTCCTCATTCTCTCCAAAATCATCCTACAAAACAGAAAATGCACTTTTTTGTTTGTGTGGTGAAGCTGCACCAGAAGCTGCATCTGTTTTGGGATGTTGCCATGAAAACTAAGCCTAGACTCACAGATTTGGTCATGAAAGTTGAGCTTGTTCCTTTTCTGCTGGGGGTGTGGCTGTCATCCCATGTGCGCGGGAACATGACGGATGAGTCCAGCCCTCCAAGAACTTCATTGCCATCAGCATCCTTCAGAGGAAAGGGTTCACCACATGCAACCAACAGATCTATCAATTTACTATCACCGACCTCCAAGTTGTAGGTCATCCAATCCATACGGATATCTGAGAGGTTTCAGAAAATGACATGATGTGTGTACTTTTGTAAACTTGATGCATGTACATTTGTGAACTCAATGTAGTGGAATGGCTCACCATACGGACTGGTGTTAATGAGCCGTAAAGAGCGTGACACAGTGTCTCCTCCAGAAACATGGCTTCCAAATCTGTCAATCATAAATATCAAAGAACTGTCTTTGCGAGTAAACTGCAACATCTAAAGTATCCTATAAGTACACTGACCGTATAATTGGACCCTGGTTCTGGTTGTCAGGTTGTGGTCCAATCATCTGAAAGTAAATGGGGCAGCCCCTCACAGACATCTGGATAGGAATGGGAGTTGGATCTAGATCTCCAACCTGAAAGTCAGAATTCACTGTAACTCAACTGTTCAATTTGAGAAAGGTAAAATATTTATAATGAAACAAGATGTTTGATTGTTTTGTGACATACTTTACATATGAGCTTGTCTTGATAATTCCCCCACATATTGGTGAGAGCAGTGATATTGATGGCTTGAGTCTCAAATGGGCCGAGCATCCCACTGTTCGGTTCAACAAAGAATGCTGCACCTCTCCCATTGGAAAGAAGACAGTTTACAAATTCTGGAAGTAAAGAAAGAAATTGCGTTTTTGACTTTGCTGTTTCACTTTCACTGATACTGTAGAGCACAAAAGAATAGGTTCCACCAACCATCATATGCTTTTTGCTGTATTTTTTTGGCCTGGACAGAGTGGAGAGGTGCACCGCTCCTGTTTTCAACATTAATAATAAGAAGAAATGTTTCCAAATCATACTAGAATGATTTCTGAAGGAACATGCATTTAAAATTGTAATGATATTTCGTAATATTACAATAAATTCAGCCTCGGTGTGCATAAGAGACTTCTTTTAAAAACATTTTAAAAAATCAACCCCAAATGCTATATTAATGGTTAATGAAACGTTAGTCTTTTTAAAAATAATATGTTTGTATTAATACTAAAAGAATTCAGAATAAAGATATGAATGAAGAATAAAGATATGTACTGTACCTTTCAGAGTTTTCATCCAATTGTGAAGGACAGCATCCAGTAAAGTACTCTGCTTCAACAGTGAACGGAGCAGTAATAGCGGTGTCGTTAGTTATCAGCAACTGCCGTTTGATAGATTTGCCAATGACGACTGGCTCATGCTCACTGAAGTCCAGTGTGATTGTTTGGTGATCGGCATCCCTTGAATTAACACTAAATATGTAACAGTGAAAAAGACAGTGATACTGCAACAATGTCTTGATTAAAAAAAGCTAATAAAAAGACCAAAGTCCAGGGAAATGTGAATATGAGGTATTTGTGGCATTACCAATCAGAAGGCAGTGAGTAGGAAACTCTGAGAGGTTTGGCTTTAGAAAAAAAGCCCAGCAACAATGGACTCTCCATTCCTTTTACTTCACAAACTGCAGCCACTTTAGTCAGTTCCTCCTAAAAACGTAAAGTCTTATTCACAATAATGTTTGGAAAAATATATTGCGCTAGAGCTTGAATATCAACAGATGATTAGTTTATATTAAGCTGCGGGTGTTACAGTAGCAGTACATACAACAGTGTGAGCAGTGAATGAGACAAAAAAAGTCATGTATATATGTCACATTTGATAAGAGAGACTTTGTTCAGATGTGAAGAGAGAGGCACCTGCTGAAGCTCTTCCACATAATTTTCATGGTAGTTGTTGCTTCCTCTGCGTGATTTACTAAGATTAGAAACAGTGTCCCTCCCAATCACCTCTATGGTGTAAAGGTCGTTGAATATGCTGGCCAGTAGATGAGAAATGTCCTGTACACACAAAACCAATGACTTTCAAGCAAACTTTTTTGACTTTTTTTTTTTTATCTGATAGATTTGTTTAATGACACTTCGCCCAGAAATGAAAATTACATAATTCCAATACCATTCTATAGTATAACATAAAATGTTGTGTTCGACGAAATACAGTTATACAGGTTTATTGAGACAACATGAGGGTGAGTAAAGTCTTATAAGGACTTTGGTAAAGTCAAACTGTTAAAATAACTAGTGGTCAGTAGTCATTCTCTTACCTGAGTTGTCTTTGATGCTGGCTTGTGTCGGTTCATGGAGGGTTCAGAACTCTTTAGTGCTTTTGGTTTAGTTTCATCGGCCATTGTTTTGTCGTGTAAAAACTTTTGAACTTTTTTAACACAATTGAATACTTCAAGCTCCGGCACGTGTGGTGCGTAGCGAAGTAGGTCTATGGTGATATTTTATGGAAACGTGCCGTAGATACTCATATGACTCAATATAAAACGTGACGGCAGAAATAATAAATACACTAAATGGCACCATGGAGAAGTTCCCTTTACTAGATAGACCGCCATGTTTATTTAGAGCGTCACCATAGTTACAGTGCGAGCCACCCAGAGGAAACGAGAGGCTGCTCGCTGCAGAGCAAATGGGTGGAGCTTACGTGTAGCTCCCCCTCGCTAGACGTCCAGTGGGGAGGAGCTACACGTAAGCTCCACCTCTCTTGACCTAGTCTAGATCTAACTTTAGTTAAGCGACACTCATTTCGCTACCATAGTGGCTGTTAAAGGTAATGCGAGCCCTGCGCCAGCTATAACTTTAACCTAATGGGGAATTTTTTTAATTTAATATTATTGTTGATTGGGTCAAAGTAATTATCCGGTTACATCGGTCTCATCCGCTTCCAGCTATTTTTAGCTGTGCAAAACAGCTCGTTTTGCTGCTTGTAATTGCAAACTGGTGTTTATTACCATATTATTTTTATGTATCATCTAAATTATGAACACACTGGTTTGTAATGCAGTTCTACCGTTTACTGCACTGTGTTATTCATCTCATTATTTCCCTATAGCAGCTAATGAACGTAATCTCCCATAGGCTTACTTCCGCGATGAAGAATAAGGTGGATAAGACTTGCATGGAACTGGACATGCTGACATAGCTAATATTGCCTAACCTTTCTTTAACATTTTTGATGATTTCGTGATTTTTCGGCATTGTTTCTGTTACTAATGTAAGACTAGATTATCTGCTTTACCCCTGCTTTTTTTTACCAACCACATTAAGGCTATGTAGGCTATTTGCGAATTTATCTCAATCATAATTAATGTAATAAAGTATGCTCCTAATATGCCACGTGTCACACCAAAGAAAAAACGAGGACAAGTGTTGGCAACCATTGCAGGAACATTTATTAGTAGCCTGGGAGTGTTACTTAATTTACAATTTATGAGTTACATTCTTCACTGCCCTCAAGTGTTGCTGTATGTATTTTATTTCTATTAACCTTTATTAGCAAAACGTACGGCTAACAATCTTCAATCTAGGAACACGATAATAGGATACAAGACACACCATTTAACATCAAGTTTCAAGAACACTTTTCCCCCACAAAACTTAAAAAAAAAAAGTAAACCTAAAACTAACAAGGCAATACAAAACAAAATTTAAAAAACAATATTTACCCAGATCAACCCCATCAGACAGTTAGCTTGTTAAAGGTGAGGGTCATGCACGCAAGACACACACATTTTTCTTTTGTCGTTTATTTCCTGCAAGAAAAACTCCATGTCTTCAATTCTCTCAAAGGTGAAAAGGAAGGGAGCCCGAATTTTGTCCTCATCCATTTCACCTTCATGGAAAATAGTGTCAATAAATAGGTCCCGCATTGTTATGGCCAACAAGGCATCATCCTCGGTCATCCTTAAGATCTGTGGTAAGTGAACTTTCCCAGCAAAGTGGGGTCTGTTTTCCTCCACCCAGTCACAGGCCAGAAGAATCGGTTTCATCACTGCCGAGTCCTTTGTGCAAAAAGATAAGATTTTTATAATGATTTCAATAATGATGTAATTAGTCAAGTGCTGCTCAAGCACTTTTATGAAACAGGAAAGTACAAACTATACAGTACGTGCATAATTATTATGCAAGTTGATATTCTGGTCATTTTGTTTTTTAAGCACATTTTACCAAATCCAAACAACATCAATCTTAATAACTACTATTAATTTTGTATTTAATTATATATAAGTGATATATAATTGTTAAAGGCTGGAAGTGAAAAATGCCTTATACTCATAAGGTGTGCATAATTATTAAACAGGTTTTCTTTTACAGGTAAAATGCACCAGAAAAAGAGATTTAACTCAGACTGAAAAGTCAACAATTATTAAATGCCCATGAGAAATATTCAAAAGTAATGCAATGCAGAAATTGCTAAATTAAATCATGACCACTGGACAGCGAAATGGTAACAAAAAAGGGACTTTGCTAAGATAAAAACAAAATCCTAAAATATGACCCCCACTTAAGAACATGCTGAAGTGTTGTGAAATAGATGAGGACTGATTTTTATAGGCTTTATAGACATAGGTTGAGAATGACTCTTGAAGGACCAGCACCACATCCACGTGTACCACTCTTTGAAGAATTTTTCATCAAGAATCTGGCAGTAACTTTTGGGATCTCTAACCCTGAAAGGTCCGTCCGTGTAGCAGCTCACACCATGATCCCTTCACCACCGTCACTGCTATCTGACTTGAACTGGTGCCGATACCTCAGGAATCACTCTCAACCTGTTCATAAAACCTTTTCAAACAATCAGTCTTCATGTATTTCATAATCACAATCACACAGCATGTTTTTCTTATTAAGTGGGGGTCTTGTTTCAGGATTGTTTATCTTAGCAAAGTCCCTGAGAACCTGACGCCTTGTCTTCTGGAGACTCCAGGTAGGTTCCAGTTTTGGAAAAGTGTAGCATTGGAGACTAAAGTGTTCCTGGTGGTTTCACACTTAATTCTTCACCTTAATTCTTAATTTGTTTACAGTTAATGTGTCTTTTCTTCTCCAGCTACTTTTTTTCTGACCATATTGACCCAATGAGAATTTCGCTGTCCAGTAGGCATGATTTATTTGAGCAATTTCTGCATTGCATTACTTTTGAATATTTCTCATGGGCATTTAATAATTGTTGACTTTTTAGTCTGAGTTAAATCTCTTTTCTGGTGCATTTTACCTGTAAAAGAAAACCTGTTTAATAATTATGCACACCTGAATATAAGGCATTTTTCACTTCCAGCCTTTGTTAACAATTATATATCACTTATAAATTATTAAATACAAAATCAATAGTAGTTATTAAGATTGATGTGGTTCGGATTTGGTAAAATGTGCTTGGAAAAAAAATGACCAGAATATCAACTTGCATAATAATTATGCACGCACTGAAGTCAAACAATATAGTAGTGATCATAAGTTTACATAGCCCCTGCAGAATATGCAAATATGTTAATAAATTCAACAAAATAAGAGGGATCATGAAAATTGCATGTTATTTTTTATTCAGCACTGTCCTTAATAAGCTATTTGTCAAATGCTTATATATACTCCACTAGAAAAAATAACTGAATTGATAAAAATGACAAAATTGTACATACCCTTGAATCTTAATACTGTGTATCATTTCCTGGATGATCCACAACTGTTTTTTGTTTTGTGATAGTTGTTCACGAGTCCCTTGTTTTTCCTGAGCAGTTCAACTGCCTGCTGTTCTGAAGAACAAAGCAAATGTTTCATAATGATCAAAGTCCGGACCTTAATCCAATTTAAATTTTGTTGAAGGACCTGAAGCAAGCAGTTCATAGGAGGAAACCCACCAACATCACAGAGCTGAAGTCGTTCTGTACTGAGGAATGGTCTAAAACTCCTTCAAGATGTTGTGCAGGGCTGATCAGCAGTTACAAGAAACATTACCTGCAGTTATTGTTGCAAAAGGGGGTCAGACCAGATAATGCAAAGATTCACATACTTTTGCCACTCACATATATGTAACACTGGAACATTTCTCAATAAATAAATGGCAAAGAAAATATTTTTGTCTCATTTGTTTGTTTGCTTTCAGGACTTGTGCGACAGTTCTTTCGCCTGCCTTGACATTAAAAGAAAAATGCTTCATTACAAGAAAACGTGTTTTTGTGTGTTTTGTGTAAAGTGTTTTTAGTAGCTGAACTCGATGACAGAGAACTCAGTAAATACAGGAGCAGAGATGTCAATAACTAAGTATGGTGTGTGAGCCTACAGTAATACACTTCAGGGACTACAGGTATATTCAGTTGAGAATGTTGTTTACCACAGTTAACAGTGCTATTGAGGTGAAACAGTGATATCAAGATAGGAAGTCATTGTATCACAGTATTTTACAATCTTGTGGGAAATAGATATATGCCTTATACTTCCTACTTTGAGTAAAAAGACACCCACTGGTTAATAAGCCACTGCAGATGATTTCGGAAGTCACAGAGTCCCAAAATTTTGTGATACTGGCACTGCCGTCAAAGTCTGCTGGTGGGGCCTCTATTTCACTATAAATTCAAGCATGGTATTAATAAAGTATTGTCAATTTTTTTCTTTATCATTAAATGCAGTTTAAATGGAGACCTTTCTGTGAAGGTCCATTACAACCACTGGTGGATAGTATCCACACTTGAAACAAGAATATGAGTGGTCATGCATAGTCAGGGCCTCAAAGTATGAGTAGGCGTGGAGTATTGTGGCCTTTTTAGGGAAAGACTTATTTT